GTCCGTTGAATTGGAAGTACGTGTAAAGACCGATCCAAAAGGTTCAAGACGTTTCCTTGTTCGATTCTGCCAGTTATTGTTTTGTCATTCTCCATGTTGATTAGAGCAGCCGTGGTTTGTTTCGCCAGGTTGATTTCTATCGAAATGAATAGAGCGATGTTCAGTTCAGTTCAGTTTGTACAATCATTAACCATGTACCTTTGTGCGGCGGTTTTGGTTGCTGTCTTTTTGGCTGCTCGTTCGGATGCACATTAGGAGAAAGACAGGAAAGTTTGAGAGTAGGATCAAAGAGAAAATTGAAAAGTTCAATGGACTAATGTTGCAGAGAAATTGAAAAGATGTACTAATGCCACTGTTTACGACACCCAGCCATATCACTCAGTATCTCTAACCATCTGGTACGATCATCTCGAGGTCCCCAGGCAGGGAGCCTAACGAGACCTATGTGACCCAGACTGCTGGTTAGGGTTTTTATACCTTCATGCCAGGTTTTGCCTTGACTATCCTTGACTTTCTTCCACCCACTGATTGCCTCGGCAAACATCGCTCGCCGTGACAACCTATTTTGTGACATGCGTAACACATGCCCTAACCAACGTAATATATGAAGGTCAACCACTTGCTCCAGTGGGCGACCGCGGTTATCCAAAACTCTGCGCCTAAACTCAGCATTGCTCGAATAGAACGTTGACATTGATTGAGACCATGATTTCGTCTTCTTTCACTTTCGTTTGTTTGATCTTTTCCAGAAACTGCTCTTATGATGGGACAGAATGTTCTGAACTGAGTGACTAAGTTCTTTGTAAAGTTCTCTCGCCAGGCGGTTCGTAGGTGTTCCTGGTAGTGAAACGGTTGGTTGAAGTACCCGTGATGTTCTGAACCTGGCTACCAAACTTCTGCGAACAACGCTTCCAGCTTGGAGAACACACCAACGATAACATTCGCATCCCGAGCTAAAATCATTCCACATCATTTCCAAAGCTTGTTTTGATTTTTCACTGCACGTAAAAGCAATGCGTTAGCAATCTCGCGGTGCACGGGATCATCGATAGCCGATTTGTGGTTGAGAGGAAACTCACGAGTAATCGACATTTCTCAGACTAGAATGAATCGCGTGAATTCAAGTGGTAATCACATTAGGTTAATCGGGCTGGTGAATCGGACCCAAACTCGATATAAAGCGAATAAATTCACTTGAAGGATAGAGAGAGACATTTCGATGGGAGACTTTTGACGACGATTTTTGGCGTGGCACGACGTGACAGTGCACCAGTCGCATAAACGAATTTCTGGATCCCAAGAGTCATATATAAAGAGAGGGGTTTGGAGAATCAGGTACGGTATTAAATGTATTTCACAGTTGAACTCATCGGGACACCAGTGGGAAGCGGTGAACAGTTTTGCTCCAGCCAAACCAGACGGCTGAGATAATTTTCTACGGTAGATTAAGATTTCATTACATTTACTTGGGTGGAAACCAACCAGCCAGTGATAAATTCTAGATTAATATGCTTGACAGTTTGAGAACTCATCACATTGTAATTCACTGAAACCTCAATGGTATACTTTGTTAGCACCAAGTAGGTTAAGAACTGGAGTCTGAGAAGAAAGGAAAACAGAACAGCACATTGAAGCACACATCTTCCGGGACAAAAAACAGATCTATGTGAAAAAAGTTAACAGCCGATATCGGTTAATACGATCAAAAGATTTGGTGTAATCTAAAGGAGACATACGGGAAAAATTGCATATAGCAAGTGGGGAGGAAATTGTGTGTATTAACTGCACCAAGGCATTTCAAGTTAATCACTTCACTTGGAATGCAAACTAATCTCTGTTCTCCGAAACAGGACTTGTGATTTAATGTGGGTTTTTAACAAACCAGATGTGCATACAATGGGGCTGAACTTGCTCGCACTGGAATAATCCTCAAATTGGTGCCAGAAGCGAGCTATATTTGTTTTGTTTAATTTTTATCTACAGAACAATTCTATCAGTGAGTCAGTCGTGCGAAAAGGGAACACGTTCTTTTAAATTGACTCCAAGGGTTTTGTCACACCCCGTTGCTTTACTTGACTTGACACACCTAAACTCGACTGTGATTGCAATGCGTGACCTTCTCAATGCGGTGGAGTTTTTCAATCATTTCCATTCGAGGTGACTGAAGCGTGTTTGAGGTAGAAAACATTCGATAGCATTCGGCAGCGGTGTATTTCATTCGAAATTTGGTTACATTGGCTGGTACCAAGTCAAGTTTCTCTGCACAGTTCGTCCAAGGGCCGGATCTCCGGCTTTATGCTACAAGTTGTTCGTTTGAAAAGTTGTTTCTGTTTGACCCATTTGTTGTAACGTTACGATAGAATGAACTAGAGCGAGCCGTGACCGGGGATAAGTGCGGTAGCAGAGACCCAAGAATCTAACCGTTCGACCCAGCGGAATAGTGACGGTACACTGGTGAGCCCGATTGCGGTACCCCAAGTGAGTCCCAGCCAAGCCGNCAGTACGATCTCCAAAACCCGACTAGAGAGAACGCGGAAGATAGCTCCTTCAGGTGAGGTTGTTTATTTCGCTCGACCGTGAAAGGCGAAGAAAGCTGACAGCTCATTTGTTTACATGCAGTTCGGGGACCGGCCATCAATTACCTTGGAAAATAGCTCGAAAGTAGTGAGTCACGGAAAAATGGACCAACGGGGATCAAGCATGGCCGGTGGTGTGGTATGAGGTTTTTAGCGGGAAAATCTGGAAATTCAAATTTTATAAAAAGAAATGGAAAAATAGAGGCAAACAGTCACTTAGGAAAAAGCGCCTTTTCCCTATCACCATTCTTTTCTTTTGTCCTTTTAGTGCTTCCAGATGGGGAGTGGGAAATCTGTCGGGACAAATGTAGACGGGTAACATTTGGCAGCAACATTTCAATCTACTTGTTTTGTATTCCCACTGTACTCCCAACCTAGCGGGACCTAATGTGGTTCGGCACTCCCAGTCCCGGGGTTTGAGTTATCGAGTTCCATCATTGAACAGCAGGTCCTCGTGACTATGGGGTCCACTCCGTCTGTTGTTCATCACACTAAGGTATATAATAAAA